CTCCGTGGTTCACGCCCACTGTGAGGCATTGGCGAAGAAATGGCTGGTTTCATACGTTCGAGCTCTCCACTTATCTGTTCTTTGCCTAATTTTAAACGAATAAATGATGAAAAGCAGAATATGCCCTATTTTTATCGCAAATACGTGCCCTAGCGGTTCAGGCACGCAAACGGACCATTCCCTAGACATATACAGCGCCACTGTACACTTAAACAGCTGAAGTGCAAGATGGTCACAACGGACTAATAAAACCACGAAGACAAGCGCTTCTTAGTCCGTTGTTACCCTTTTTGAACTTCAGCAGTTTAAGTAATGGAATACCCATGGACTAACCCGCTCCCACACATTGCCACTGTAGAAACTGCACTTCATCTATGACAGCGCTATCGTACAGACACGGCCACTTGATTTCCCCCCTTTGGTGCGGCCCACCGAACGCTGTTCTCTCCCTGTGAGAGCCCGAGTTCCCATAGTCTTGTCTTTTTGTTTAGCAAAGTCATCAGGACGCTTCTGAAAAGTCGACAATTCTAGCCAAAAGTCACTAACCCATGATGATGACGATACTTTTCTTCAGTCTTTAGTTTTTTTTTTCATTTGACAACGCGCGTGAAGAAAATAATATTTATTTAAACAATATTTGAAATGAATTTCGGTTTGGCGAATGAAGTTGGACTGCGCAGCTACTTCCTGTCTACGTCACTGTTAATCCGTGAGCAGCCTCAGTCCACCTGTTTGCGGGGAACCGAGAGCCGTTTGGAGCCGCCTTCCCTATGGATTCGAAACTTTATTTGAAGTCTTGAGGTGCGCGATTCAACGTGCAGAGGGCCCTGTCACATCGGGACATCTCTACCTGGAACATAACTAGTTTTCCGATTGCGCGCTTAAGATCGCAGTACCACAAGCTGCTTTATCCTGTATGTATTGACCTCATTTATTGAAGCTTGTTCCGATTACAAGCATTCTACTGTTCTTACAGTTTCTTAATTTTTGATGTCTGTTTAATAACATACTATGCCTCAAATTTTTAAACTCCCCGAAAAAGTCACGAAGACTCCACAGAAGTAAAATTGTCGCTTGCACGACTGAAAAGACGCTACAATCAGTGACTTTCACACTGAGTTAACACCATTGGCGAGTTGCCTTTCAAACCGACGCATCGGCTATGGCACTAGCAATCGGCGACGTAGATGTGTCTTTCAAAGCTCCCTTCAGCCACAGTGAGCTAAAGGCGCGGATAGTTTTACGTGGTTCTAAAGAGTGCTTTGTCATCCTTCACATCGAAGCGCTCTCATGAAGATGTTGCGTCATTGTAAAATAGCGTAAAAAAACACAAAAACAAGTGGACACAGCATAAAGGCAGTAGGAGCGCTACAACACAAGGCTGGATCCCTTTGGTTGGATTTGTGGCCGATGACTGAATAAATTAGCGCAAGGAATGCGATGAACACAAGAACTAAGACAAGCCTGGCAGTGGCCTCGCGTACTGTGTGATGTCAGTGCACGGTAAAAAAGAAAAGATGGTTGAAATTTTGCGAAGCCCTACACTTCGGCATGGCTTATTTTCATACACTAGTGTTGGCACGTAGCACGCCAGATGTTTTCATTATTCTTATTATTATTTAGAACGAACATTTGTATTGTTTACGGGGTGTTTCAAGAAATGTGTGCACTATAATTGAAAAATTACAAAAAGAAGTTATCTTCGTGCTAACTGCGGCGCTCCCCTTACTGCGGCTGAAGACACCTTAAGATGTGTACAAAGAATAATTAAGCCATTTCAATAGAGCTAAAATTCTGTAAGCCGGTGTGCTCAGATTTAGGTGCACGTTAAAGAAGCCCTGGTGGTCGACATCTCCGGATCCCTTCACTACGGTGTCTTTCATATTCATATGGTGGTTTTGGAACGTTAAACACATATCACCTAAAAGAATGACGATTGCAGCTTTCCAAGACTTTAGGCCAGCCTTTGGCACAGTAATAGGGGGGGAGGGGACGCATTCTTCCTTGGCCTTCAGATTTTTTACTGGTCAATATGTATTCATGGTGACAAGCATTGGCAGCAGCACAGTGCAATAACTCAATGTAGGAAAAATTACTAAGCCCTAAACTGCTAAAAACAGTATTGAGAAAATAATTAGTGAAAGAATAGTTACGGCAGTTAGTATAAAAATAAACACAATTTCCTTTTCAACCAGTGAAACTAAGCGGTCGATTAAAATCAGTGAATTCAAGTACTTGCTGCGAATTGTCCTTAACCACTTTGAAATATATCTCAAAGGTGGCCCCTGGTAATTACCGCGGGGTGATGAAATTTGGTTAATTTAGCAGACGAAGCCGGAACCGATGCACCAAACAGCGCATCTACCATTCACTTGAAAAATGACCTCGCCGTTGTCAACCATCCATCAACATACTTCGTTCGTGAAAGCACTTTCCTGCCGTGTGGCCGCTTATCGAAGCTCGCTTCTTCCACCTATGTGAGGGAAACAGTGTCGTCATGAGCGCGTTTCCAAAGTGAATGACAGATACGCTGTTTAAAGCATGGTTTTGGTTTTGCATGCTAAATTAGACAGATTTCCTCGTGCCACGGTGATTACCAGTGGCGGTCTTTTCAGAAATTTTAACAGACTATTCGCAGTAAGTACTTGAATGTGCCCACTTCATTCGACCACTTAGTTTCTCTGGTTAAAAAGTAAATTCTGGTAATTAGTATATAATACCGTAATTACTGTTTGTATACTTTTGAAGGTGCCCTCAGCAACAGTAAGGGGAGCGCAGCAGGTAGCACGCAGATGCCTTCTTTTTGTAATTTTTCAATGACAGCGAACACATTTACTGAAACACACTGTACATCATTCATTCACTGAGATGCGTACTTTTTTGTCAGCTACTTAAAGGCCAGCGAAATTCTAATTTACTCCTGAATAACAATGATAGTGGCTTATGTAATGATGTAATTTCATTTCGCGACATTATGAAGATTTTGACCACAATATAGCTTTTCAGCTACTTTGGTGGCATGGGCAAAAAAAGTGGCAAAAAATATTTGGAGCAGGCCTAACGATATTGCCCGTAGCAAAAAATTTTTCGCCGTTTCCCTCAAAAAAAAAAAAGAATCACTCCTCATTTGTATTAGATGAGCCCCGTCAGACCGGTGTAGTGCATGAAGTTAAGCAATGCCTAATACGCTAGTCAATATATGTCGAAGTCACATGCACAACTAACTAGTCCATCAATCAAATCTTTAAAGGTAGATGGTTCTCCATACATGCGCTCTATTAGATGCATGCTGCGAGTTTGGGTGTCCGGTTAAAGCAATGAAGAAGCACAAGATCCGCGTCTTGCACTCGCTCGTACGACAAGGGGCACAGGCACAATTTTGTTTTGGTTTTTGGTGCAGGGGGGGGGGGCGGAGGTGACCTCTTTAAAATGGGTCATTATTTGCTCTATACGGCATGTCGAAAAACATTTTGGGAGGGGTGGGGCATGGGCCAGGAGTGCTACTTCCTGGCTACGCCACTACGTACGACAACACAACATTGCATATCTAATGTTATTTTGACTACTTAAAACGTAGCGACTTCAAAAACACTGTCAACCAAGAAGCCAAGCAAATGTGTATTTTATTTATAAAGGTATGAATGAGAGCATTCATTTGCGCGTGGCCACGTATTTATTTCCGCGACAAATATGTATATCTATACATGTAATCTGTATGGAACAGTAATCAGTAGATGTTTCGTAAAGGTATATTGAGCACAAAATGAAGATCCAAACCTCCTCAGTGAAGCGTGGGAGGCTGCGATCTCTAAGTCGGACCTCTTTGACCAGCTCCAACTCGTCGCGCGGGCATGGCAGACGGTCCAAGCCAGAGGGTTCATGGAATAAGGGACCCTCCCACATTCTGTCTTTGACCACCTAATAAACGAGAGAGAGAGAGAAAACTCTCTCTCTCTCTGAGCACATTTATTTGCGTGTAATGACGTATTTATTTCGCGACATAAATCTAGATTTAATATGAATCGAACGGTTATAAATAATGATTCTGCGTAAATAATCTGACGAACGCATCATTTTTTACTCAAACGTTGCATGATTTCACAAACAGAGGGCTTTGCGGAAAGTGGTTTTATAAATTGTACTAGTATGTTTTTTTTTTAAGCGAGCTGTTAAGCATCCACCCAGTCGATCAATAATGAACTCAGTAGCTTCTTGGTAAAAAGCGTTCACTTTCAAACATAACAGCTGTCTGGAAGAACAAAGAGGCATCGCATGCTACACACGATGGCCCGATACGACTGTCACCGAGTAGGGAGCATGAGTGGGATTACTGCTTTGCGCGATGCGGTGCAAGAAGTTGCAAGGACGATTACTTCACCGGTGTGCAGAGCCCGCCGCTTCCGCCGTAGCCTGTCAGTCAACTTTTGCTTTCTCGCGAGCTCTTTTGTTCTGGAGAAGAATTGGCAGGCCGTATTAAAAAGGGGGGAGATTGAGCAGCCATGGTACCCATAATTCAGCTACACCAGCTGATACACAATGAAATTATTACAACAAATTACAGCAGTAAGCTTTACAGGAACTAGAAGTATGAAATGTTAGTATTTCATGCACAATGCGTTAACACGGCCAAATATGCATGGGTGGATACAGGAGGGAAGAGGGGGGTCGGGTTTTTTTTTTATTTTTGTCCGCGAGTAGATGACTTGTGAGATAATTCTGAAAACTGACATTTATTTCGAAAAAAAAACTTTGGAATCCGCCATGAGGATTCTTTTCCATCGAAATGGTTTTGCGCAGAAATTTTAAGACGTGCTTCACGCAGCTGGTATATCCATACCCACTCATTGGACCATCTTTATATTCTTACGTATTTTAAGCTGCATGATGCGGACTGATGTTGTCATTAGAACAATTATTCATATTTCTTTATAAGCCACCGTAGTATGTGTAATTGAAGGCAGTTTAACAGTACGTGCCCTGCCATTTCTTCTGCTTCGCAGTTTGAAAGGGATCTACTCGTGTGGAACCACAAGAAAATGCTGCTGAAGCCACCGCTCCAGAAAGGAGACAAAACTATTGCCGATTTTCGAAAATGGTACAAGCAATTCTACAGTGAAAGCAGCCCGACGTGGCAGGACATTAGGCTACGAACGTTGGAATGGTGAACGTTATATTGCGTGATATCTATAATAAATAAAAGCCCCGTGCACCTTTCAATAACATTTATCGGGCTATCGTTGTCGGCTCATTTCCTTTATTTACGAGGTTTCACAACAAAGAGCCGCAGTCTACAAGGTGTGACAATGAGCGTTTTTTTTATGCCATTTTGACTTTCCATATACTGCTATCGTATTTACCACTTTCAAGACCCATGGAGAAACTTGGCAAGGAGGACAATAAATGCGTAAATAGATTAATTAAAATTCTGGGAAGAATACCCCATAATTATTTTGCCATCCAATATATCGCGTTACATTTTTAATACTCTGCAGTAATTTATTTAATTATTTGGTTTTTGTACATAGAAAACACAAAGACACGGAGAAAATAGGGAGGAAACAGGCTCCCATTGCTTTTCCATTGCTCCCATTGCTTGGGCAATACTTTCTCGACGGGGGAGAAGGCTGCGATGAAAGAAGCGCGTGCAGGTGGAGTCTAGCCCGACCCTGGTTTGACAAGCTAAATATCTCAGCTTCTTTTTGCCTGTTCTAATGTACTGTACTTGTCATACCGCCTCTGCCTTATTTTCTATTTTTTGTTATCTTTGTTTACTCAAGTACGGGAAAAGAAATAAATACTAGCGTCATGAAGGTGCATTATAGTATTTGTCGAGAACCACGCAGGCTACGCACCGGCAAGCACGCCATACATGCAATTGTGTCGAGGCTGTTAAGATGAGTATATCATCAGCTACCTTTCAGACATTGTATTGGGTGTGTCTGTAGCCGAGTGTTTTGTAGAGTCTAGCAACTGCACAAGAACGGGACGCAAAAAGGAAAAAACGATGATTTTCATATTAAAAAGTTACTATTTACAAATATAAAATCACGCTCGCCACAAGATGTTTGGTAAGTTAGAAAATGCACAAAAAGAAAATCCGAGTGCCCACGCCACCTTGAAATGCTCGCACCAAACGTTATAAAATCATACATATTGACGGCCTTTGCTTGGCTCTAAGTCGTGATTTATTGGTAATAACAAAGTGGATTATATCCTGAATGGACTGCATATACGCATCAGGCCACGTTTTGAGAAATTTCTTTGAGCCAATGTTGCTAAACTACAAAAACCACGCTTCGAATAGAATAGTGCGACATCACGCGCTGAAATTTCAGAATGGAATTCACAAAAGAAACTTCGAGCTTAATTTTCTTCGCCATTATTAATAATATATGATAGTAAACCATGAGCTACGACGGCGGTTAGCCGCTGCCGTTGCTCCGTAGTAGAGCATCGAAAGCGTTATTCGAAGGTTGCAGATTCGGATCTTGCTGGTGGCAAGTTATCTTTTCGTCCACTTTGTTTATTCTCGTTTACGTTGCATTTGCTTAAACTAACAAACCCGATACTTGCTCTGGCATTATTGTCTGTTAGTTCTCAATATTGTTGTATCTAGTCTAGAAAAACAAGCCCTTAAATTTACGCTAACAAATCCTAATGTCACTGAAAGAATGACAAGGAGATCGAAACTTGCAGCGCACTCCTCAAGCAGAAAGACACATGAAAAGAGATAAGAAATGGTAGCGAAGGAAAGGCTGGGAGATTAACAAAAATAATATACACAGGACGAGGGCGGACTAACAACAGTCGTTGCTTGACACATAATTCGCTTTGCTCAAACAAAGAAAAGGACGCACGAAATTAACGCCCAAGTATATATACACAGGCGGAGTGCGAGTTCCCACAATTATTACTCTTTCGTTTGTGAGCAGCACGCTCCTTTCGCAAACGCGGCCGCTGCAGCAAGCGAAGCCACCTTCATACTCTCTCTAATTTCAACGCATACATGCGTTAAAGCACAAGGCGCAGACGAGCTCTGCAGAAACTCGCAAGGAAGTCCATAAAAATTTTGCTGAATGAAAAGCCTCTTGGTTGCCAAAAATTTTGTCCTAGTCCGCGGATTGAGGCCGGAACCAACGCCGTTCTGGGGTGGTAGTTCTACCATTTGAGCTAGGCAGGAAGCTAGCGATTGGCAGCATGAAGCTGAATTCATCGACAACTCGAATCACAAGGGCACAAGTAATGCAAATGAGTTCTGCAGAGACGAGCAAGGTGGCGGAAGGGTTAAGAAAAAAAAATAGACAACCCGCCGTTCAAACGTTTCACAAACAGCACGTTTGTGCCACAAACGGGTGGCTATTTTCCCTTTCTTCAGTTTCTACTGGCGTGGTATGATGCATCATCTTTCGCCTAGTAGAGGTCCAAGCTCATCGTAACTCTCTGGGTGACGACCTTTAACGCACGCCCTCCATGCCATTTGTTCCATCTCGCTAGTTATAACAGGAACACGCTCAAGCTAGTGATATGAGTACTGCCTACGGTAAATGGTGTATGTAAATAGCTCACCGTTAGCAAGCTGATGTATGTATACGCTCTGCAGCCGAGCCGCTATGCACCGCGCTTAGCGCAGCGATTGTCGCAGGTTCGAGTCCTGGTGACGAAACTTTCCTTCTAGCTTTTTCCTTGCCATCTGTTTGTGTATAATTTGTACAGTCATTTGCGTGATGGAAATACGTCAGTGGACCGAGGTTGATCTCCGGCATAAAACACTTGCATGTTAAAAAGACCGGCAGTTGTTTTTTGTTGTTGTTGTTGTTCAGCTCCATTGGCGAATGGTCGGCAACATTCGCTTTGCTGCAACAAATCAGCGTGAACGCAACAAATGACTTGAACGCACCTAAAAACGCTCTCCGCCGATTTCTCAAAGGAGGCCTTCCGCTTTGCAACCTAATCATACTCCAAATATGCACTCTTGCGACGAGTATACTTCGGATTGGAGTAAAGTGTTCGAAGAAGCCGTACGTTGGCGAATCAAGTCGGACGTACACTATAGGCTTGTAATGCAATACTACGCTCTTTGTTATTTACCACTTCTATTACAAACGCATGTCCGACATCGAGGCCATGCTGTTACTGCACTTGTTGTGCGACGCTGTGCTTCTTTCTTACGGCCGTTTCTTCAGGTCTAGAAGGACGTACTTTTCGCAATCACGTGTTTCATCTGTTTTCGAAAGGAGCAAAGCGTGAGCACACGAGCAGTGCACCATTAAAAGGAAACATTTGCGCGTTTCAACTGTTTTTGATGACACTGAACTGATGTTTTCTTGAGTTTCTCTAGTTGCTTGTAAGACATTGCTCTGACCGAAATCTAAAGCACGGATATTGCAACGATCGCTGAAAACATTTAGGCTGAATGCACAGTTTTTTCTGTGATTTTCATTTATATCCAGCAGGTTACCTGCTTGCCTAGCCATAAGCGTGTCCTATAAAAATTTCGTCGACCGTTATTATACATCCGAATGCGAATCCCGAGCGTATCTTCCTATTGAGGCAACCCCAATTGTGTTTGAAGTTTTGGCTATTCGCAAATGTAGCAACGTAATATTCTTTACATATTGCCACAGATATTGCCAGCGCTCGAGTGTTAACACCACTTTGTGCAATGACGTCGTCGCAAGTCAAGAGGAAGACCGACAGCGTTCGTGTGCTACGCACGCCACTTCTTCATTGCAGGCGCTTCGAACCAAGCAAAACATTGACGGCCTCGTTACGACAAGCGAAAGCAGCCGCAGTACACGTGTGAGCCCTGCATGCAGACGAGCTCCGACCAAGAGGCCAGCACGCCTTGGAGGAAGAAAGAAAGTGAGATTAAAGGCCAGTGGCTCGTGTTATGGACAGACTCCGCGTTCTCTCTCTCTCGTACTCGTTCACTCTATCGGTTACACTTACGCCAACCCAAAACAGCGACACCACTCAACGCAGAAACGGGTACCCAACAGCTGCGCTCTAAAAAAATGCTGCCCATTGCGACACTTCGCAATACGAAATGTGAGTGCACGAAGCTTTACGTGCGTTTTTCCTATCGGCAATACGTTGACGCAAAAAAAAATTGAGAGGCCCGTACGTGCAGGTAGAGGCTGCTGCTTACTTTTATTTTAATATTTCTTTCAATTATGTTTTTGTGCTGTTTTTTGCTCTTTATTTTTTCTTCATTTTATTTATACGTGCATATTTTTGTTTTTACATATCGGTGGTGCCAACTGCAGTTGCATATGATGCTTTATTGTAATTTTATTCCTACCTCTCTTCTACAGCAAAGCTGTCACGAAGGGGTTTGCCATGTGTGGCAGATTCAAAATTACCACCTTTATTGACAGGCACGCGGTCAATCACCGCTCAAGCAATCAGTGCAGATGGTTCACAGGAGAAGCTGAAGCAGGCCGCCCCTAATCTGTGTTTTGCCGCCCGTATGTTCTCTTGCTAATTTTTAGTGGACCAATGTGGCAAGTAGTGGGACTCGCCCGATTTCTGCGGCACGTATTTCTACTGAAAACACTTACACACCTTTATCTTAAGATGTGAATGAGTTTAGTAAGCAAGGTACTGCACGATTCATGGCCTATCCCTCAGAGTGGGTTGCGCCTGGATGATGAGAAACCAACCAACCAACCAACCAACATATTCATCAACTAACTGATCTGTAATGGTTGAAGGGTGAAAACGATACAAGTATAGAGAACTACAACAAAGAGAGAGGTAACAAGTAATAAAAACGGAGAGACAGAGAAAAAAGGAGAGAAAGAAACACACAAAAAGATAGAAAAGTGTAGAAACGAATTGGCAGATATAAAGACAGAGATAGATGAACAGACAGTCTGAAAAAACTAATAAGGAGAAAATCAAACATAGCCATGTACAATAATGATATCTGAGGTTCGACATCCGAAAACAACGATATGTTTATGCGAGACGCCGTAGGATTGGGTTCAGGTAATTTCGATAATCTGGTGCTTTTTTTAACGTCTACTGTCATCTCACAATGCACAGACATCTACCATTTCGCCTCCATCGAAAGGGACCGCCATGGACGGTATTGAACCAGCAACTTCACAGCCAGGTATCGTATATAGTATAGCCGGGAGTGAGAAAGAGTCTGGTGAGAGGGTAAAACCTATCCAAGCCGAAGCCAGCCAGATGTCCCCCAGCTGTGCTGAGAACTAGCCTTGCTCGACTTAGTGCAAGCTGGAATAATATTTTATTGTTTTCATTTTCGTGCATGTTTTTAATTTTATTCATTGCTTCGAAGGTGAAGGTTGCAGTGTAATCAAAAGGACCTCGGCAAAAGACGAGAGTCGCGTGGCGCGGGAAACATGCGCATACGGTGAGAGTATGTATCACAGGAACGGGCGCAAAGAGCTACGCTCTCTAAATGAGGCTTGCATCCATTACAGAGCACGCTACATCACGTTGTCTTCAGTTAAGTAGCGCTTATTTGTTTGCTTACGCGCTTCCCAATAAGTGTGCATTTGTTCAACGCTAACGTTTGTGATTTTTGCGAGGCTAAGTATACGTTCACTGACTTTATGTGATAGAGGGATGACTGGTCGCCATTGCTTATCTACTAAGCACATAAGGCCGCGTCCTAAGTATGAAATCCAGCTTCACCAAAAAAATGAACTTGTTTTGTGAATTTATTTTTTCAAAGGAATTCATATTACTTGTCAGATGAACACCTAGCTTTTCTAATGAGTCAGCGTAAAAATGTATCAATGTACAGTCACTTAATGTTCCCTAACGCTTCACTTAGGTACGATGGCCTGAAGAACGTAATTACAGCCTTTGAGGCGTTGTTGATGCTATAAAACATGTGCCATGTGTTAAGGACTCCTTCCTCCAAGAACGGACGTCTTGGAGGAAGGTCATCGAAATGACTGGGTGTACATATGAAAGTACATCGGTGGGTGTCAAATACTTGACAGTGGCACCGAAAGAGTTGTCTACTGCAGTAGAAAAAAAATCAACCTAAAGCGGGCAAAGGTCCCCGTCTGCTTAGCCGCCACTGGTAAGCAATAAAACGCCCTCTTGATTGACTAATAGGCCACCCCTGTACTTGTGAAAACGGTTTCACTATTTTGTCAACTTTCTTTTCCCGTTTTCATGCTCTCTTTCATGTCATTTTCGTTAGAGTTTTTGCTGAAAGAAAACAAAATAGTGGATTTGATGGCTTGTTTGGTTTGTTAAGCCCTATATTACGGAGAACTAGCAGACGATGATGCCAAGAGAAGTATAACAAGGGATGTTATTAAGGTAATTTCATTGCAAATGTAAAAAAAGAAAAGTGGATGACAAATGACTTTGCAAAGTTATCTTCTCATCCACTTCTCTTTTTTTTATTTACATTGCAATTACTTCTAATAGCATGCGCTATATTTCTGTTGGCATCAATGTCTCTAAGTTCTCAATAATGTAGAGTTCTGGCTGGTGCTGAGGTCCGGTATGCATTTATAGAAGCTTTCGGCGAACTTGTGTGCTTTTAGTTTTGGCCACTTCCTGCACTTAGAGCTGCTACAAATATGCCATTCATAGAAACCACCTCAGCTGGTCGGTGGTTTCAACTTTTTATGTACCCATGGTGGGGTCAAAGTTTCGAAATCAACCCTATGCTGACAGGTTTCATTTTGAATGTTCATTGTGGGGTGAATACCACCGTTGTCACGCGTGATTATGCATGTTAAATTACAAAAATGCAGAAACGCCTGTTCCTTAGCAGCACGTGATAATATCTTTATGTAGTAAGACTTTAATATTTATTTGTTTTTTATCCCATTCATGAGTTTTCTCTCCAAATATTTGGCGTATCGTGTAAATGAGGCTCTGTGGTTAGGTTATGTTGTTTTTATTGTGCATTCCTCTTGTTTAGTTTTTTACGCCATTGACCTGTTTTGGTAAGGAGATGTGTATTCTTGACTGTTCGAATGCAAACATCTACGTCAGCTATTACATACATCAATCTTCCGCGGTGTCACAAGACACGCACCCCACAAATATTGACCATGTGAACCACTAAATTTGAAATATGCTACTTTGGATGCGCGAACGGCGGGCGTCACGATGTGTGCTACATTATCTGGCGTCGCTCTGGAGTAAATCAACATGGCGTCCGCGAGATGTGAGAGCTCCAAAACATCAATGTAAACTGCCGATTACACTCTCGTAAATTTCAGCTCAATTACGAGAAGGCTAGGCATACTCATGGACACGGAGGGCTCTCTCTTGGTCATCTTGACGCCACATAATATCAGAAAGTGGCTAGTGCAAGTGCTCGATCCGAAAATGCGTTGGTAAGACAAGGGTTTCACCGAATTAACGCTTACTTGGTAGCAATCTACATTAAGAATTCTGGATTGGTTTTACGTAAAGTACTCGTTTTTTTTTTCAGGAATATATCCGACCATTTTGGACACATACGACCTGAAAGAAAGGCGAGCACAGAGGTGACAAGGAGTTGCCTCTGGTTTGCTTTCGGGGGTTTAGTGCAGGGTCAACTGTGACTCCACTAGCAATATTAAAGCAATTAAAACAATAAAGGAATTAAAAGAATTGTCGTACCACCAGTGGCATCATATATTTTTGTAGTAAGCCCAAACAATCCTGCACTACATGCATAAAAGTAAGTGAAGATTGATGCATCAATTTATATCCCGTGTGTCTTATTTGGATGGAAGAATAAAAAACTTTCGTATCTGAGTGTAAGCAATCATACAGGCGTGTCCAACTAAATAAAACTTGAACTCTCATTTGCCCGCAGATAACTGCTACACGTAAGTTTTAAAGGGTACCTCATTGAAAAATGAGCGGAGGATGGTGACGATTGTCACATCGTCAGTGTGGCGACACGAATAATACCAATGCTCTGGGGAGCCGATATAATCAAGGACGTGACTGCTACGCGGTGTAACTATCACTGCACCACTCAGCAGCTGTATTTCACTAAAAAACAAATATATAGGGGAGGAGGGAGGCAAAAACAGAGAGTCAACAGCCTCAGTTGTGCCTCGAGATATTATTGCGTCCATGGCACTTGCGAAACAGCATGTGATTCGGGGGATCGCGAGAAAAACAAGTGGTCAGTTCAGTGACCACACGCTTAGCAGAATAACGAGTCCGTGCGGTCGCTTTTTCTGGCACGCAGTAACGACTCCCTCATGCATAAGGCACCGATGCACAGTGACACGTGCGATGAGGCTAGAATTTCGCGGGCGCTTGGTCAGTTTGACTACGTCCTGTGGGTTGCCCTGGGAGGCACCCTAGCATGGATTGTTTGCCGTCTCTTATCATCGCGTGGCTCTGCAAAAAAGGTAACGTACAGAATTTAACGTATCTTTCCTGCTTGTCTGAAGAATACGCACACACACAGAGGAAGACACACACGTGCACTACAGACTACACATTCACACATAGAACACACCCACAAACGCACGCACGCGCTTGCGAGTTGGGAGAGGGAAGGGAGTTCTGTTGATTGATAAAGTCTATAGTTAATTTAGTAGGTGATCATTGTTGATTGTTCAAACCCATTGTAACCCACTTCGCCAAAAGTTTGGGAATCAGTGGGATACTGGGGTCAATGTTATTGACAGAGCCCTGGAAGATTCCCAACAACTGGCCTATATTTCTGGCAGGTATTCACCTATCATATAGAATCAGGTTGTAGACAAGATAGCTTGTTACCACATCTTTCGGCGTTGTTGGGCGACCACTCCGCAGTTAATATGCAATAGTAAAATGGCATGTCTTCGAAGGAGAGGGCAACCTTTTGAGCTTGCTATTGCATTGTTTCGGACATTTGAGCGGAAGTGTCTCTTGTTAGATTATCCTGAAGAAACAAAAGCTTCATGACGCCCGGTAAGTCCACTTACATGCAACCTGTTTATACATTCGCGGTCTCACATTTCGCCTCAAATCGAAACTAGTTATGAGAAGCAGGTGAAATTTATACTTTCAAGAGTACTTAAAAGGTATGAAGTTTTTGTTTCTATTTATGTTTACGTTTCCATTCTGAGCGAATTGTGACACAGCCAGGAAATTTTTCGCTCACCCTAGTAAGTAGCTGAACACTGTCTTTATGCTGTACATCGAGGATTGCTCGAGGTTTGGTATGCAAATGAGCTAGTGTTGTGTGTTTGCTTCGTGTGCATTTGTCTTACCTCCTGGGGCTGTTTCAGTAGTATGAATTCATACCAACTTGCCCAGTTGTTGGTTCTGGATGGCTTGCATAGCCACAACACGCCTATTTAAAAGGTGTCGAAACACGCCCGCGGCTTTCTACCTCTTTAATAACAAGAGTACAGCTAATGAATGTATAAAAATCAGGTGAAGCTTCCACTTACGCAAAGCTTGAAATAGCAACACTTGGTGATTCTGAAGACTAATCTGATTGCTTCTAGGTCATTTCTAGACATCAGCTAGGTGAAGATTAGTTGGTTCCTCATTGATTCAGAGCCCAGAGAGGTTCGAGTCAAACCGCAGAAAGTTTCAGACATGATACGGTTTTCCAGACTCCAGAGGCAGAAACTTGCGCTGCAACCAAGCATTCACACCTTTCATAGATATATGTGCACGTCATCTTTGACGTATATGCCTTTCATCACTCCGGTGGAAGGCATATATTCTCGCAGTCACGGTCACCTTGCCCGTTCCCTAGCATTAGACACATATTTAATTGGCCGTGCGTAACAAGCCTACGTACGCCACACGGCTGCGGGAGAGAAGTGTGCATGCGCAGTAACCAACGCACCCAGAGATGCGTGCATACGCCCCTAACAGGACGCTGGGTACGTAACGCATCCCTTACTACGGTGCGCTCTCGTGAGATATCGTGGAAATCAGAAACGAGAGCGCATGATTGTTGTAGGGGTGTTTGGACGCAGACAGCAACATCGAACCAGATGCAAGCAGCGTGTATACTTCACATTGAAAGGTCATGTTTTTGTGCCAGACATGGTATATTCAAGAGATTTGTTCCGGCGTCGTGCGAGTATAGAAAGACATAGCCGGTGTCTCAAGGGACCGTCTTCTAGCAACAGTCTTCGATAAGCTATGTGCGGGAAGGTGACTCGCTCTGTCACGGCTTTCCGTGAATGAGTCAGTGAAAAATTAAAACAAAAAGAAGGAAGAACACCAGGGTACGCGCGTTTATTTATGCTCCAACAATGCGCGTTGAGCGTTGTGCGAGGTTCAACTCCTTCAAAGTGAACAATACCTGAAATGCGACCACTTGCAGTGGGGTATGCTGAACCTCATACACAGCCTTGCTGGATAGAACGCTGTGTTTGATTCAGCGTAGTCATGCCCCATCAAACGCCCTAGCGCACCGATAAGGTTGAACGTACAAGGCAAAGGTCAAACATGCGTTCAACTCACATGCAGGAACGACGCTAAAATACACCCAGCGGACACCACTGTCTGACTTGTATGCTGGTAGCCGTTACCCAGGTAATTGGGGGGTTCTCCCTGCAGATCACAGAAGCCGCGTTATTGCTGGGACCTACCGTTGTTCTGACGTCGGTGGCGCTGATGAGCATACGAAAACACTTGCATTTTGCATACAAGTTACCTATGTTAAACACATCAGAGGACAATAAACTGAAAATGTTGTCTCAGAGTTCGCTGTCAGCGTACGCAACGTATTTTGCACAGCTTACGCAAATGTTGCGGAAGCCCCACTACAAGTTTCTATTCTCTCGTTGTATACGTGCGCATGGTCGTAGGCTCACCTCCATCACTTCGCAGTAATTTCTTGGGCTGACTGCTCTCTTTTTCATTTTTAGTCGACGAGTAGTGGGTAATGGAATTCGCCCAATTTCTGCTGCACATATTACTTTGCGCTGCTGAACTGTAGTTTTGTTTATACTTAAACAGGGGAACATACCCACTTGATGACGACTGTTTTTTTTTATTTTATGTGGGCCAGTGTAAGGCTAAGTATTAGAATTTCGGGGGGCACATACCCGTTTATGACGATGATAGATTTCGCGTAGGTCGCACAAATAACCTTTAGCTTCGCCATGTCGCTTTGCGGCTTTCAGTGTATTGCAAGCATCACTACGCTAGAGAAAGTGTTGGCAGCATTGTGCAAATGAATTACGACTGGTTTGAACATCGCCGTTTCAAAACAGCCCTCTAAATTACCAATGGTTCATGGTCCCGTCACCTGATGCGCCAGAATACTTAGCTGTTCTAGCGTCTGTTGCCACTGCGACCACCGAGCATACTCACATTTATTACTCAGAACTTGTGATTGTGACATTAAGGCGACAAGACTTTCGAACCCCCAGCAGACGCTGACATACACCTCGTATCATGCCACCGGCTGTGCCAAGTAAGAGCTGCTGGATAGACTACTTGCTGAGTGGCAAAGCTCCAACATAGCGCAGTGCCTACTGCAGTCTGTGTAGGTCCACTTGAAAAAAACGTCTTTATTGCAATAGGAATTGCTTTGTCAGTCACGCCACATTTTACGGTGACTGTTATGTTCCTCGTAAAGTATAGGTCGCTAACAGAGCCCAGTGTCATACATTATACAGCTGTATGTGGAAGTGAAATTTTTGAAGGACTGCAGGTCACGGCTGAAACATGTGGTGAAACGAGCCTATACCGTTTCTGTGGTGCGAAGGCGCATGGGGTACGTTGTAGATGGGGCTGGAGGGGGCTTTTCGTTGCTTCATCAGGAATCGCGAACTTTGTTGAAAACTGCATGGTCACTCGCAGTCATTAAAGAGATAAACAGAAGATTCATACTTTAGTTTGCGTTGTTTTTACACCAGTGACGCTGTGTTGAAGAGATATATGTCGGAATGCTGCTTTGTTTGCTACAGAAGCCATGTTCTCTTACGCCAGTCTTTTACCGAGTGGCACTAGATCATATCCTCAAAGGGTTACCTTCCATCGTGTAACATTGCACTTTCTAGCGATCGCATTTATACTTAAAGCTTGTTGCAAGGGTTTGACGTTTTTTTTTTCCTTAGAAAAATGGAAGGCCCACTAGAAGTTTATTAGTGGTTTTGCATTTAAGGGTTCGTCGATTGCCTCTGATAAAATGTTACACCACGTCAATGCAAAAATAAGATAAAACTGTCACAGAGTGAGGTCTTTTCTTCTGTTTCTATTTTTTTTAAGTATTCAGAATAGATTTAGCCGATACATTTCTTTATAAAGTAGTAATTGCTATATTATTATCTGAGGTTAAACGCCCCAAACCGACAATATGATTATGAGAGACACCGTAGTGGAGGGCACTGAAAATTTCGTCCATCTGGAGTTTTTGACCGTGCACCCAAAGCTATAAGCACATGGGCCTAAAAAATTTTTGCCTCCATCGAGAAGCAGCCACCACAGCCGGGATTTGATCCTGCGACCTTCGGGTTAGCAGTCGAGCGACACTACCACTGAACCACTGCGGAAGGGATTCTTTATAAAAAACACATTTAACATCATAGAATAACCAAAATACCTAAATTGGTCATGCAGAACGTGAGTTTGTTGAATAAAAAGCTGCAGACATTGAAGTTTTTACATTTCAGACAGACAGACAGACAGACAGACAGACAGACAGACAGACAGACAGACAGACAGACAGACAGTTACCAGTTCACGGGCCCTGTAAGTTGAATTTGCGGAATGCTCTCTTTCCTCTCCTTCTTCCAATCGCCTCATTCCGTTCCCATGTGCATGGTAGCAAACAGTTAATCTGGACTGTGAACTGCTTTAACCTCCTTACTTTTACTTCTCTGCCATTTATTCTATTCGGAATACCTATGTCAAGAGCCAATCTTTTGCAGCGACACAAACGTGGTATTACAGATCAACTTGCAGATACCAAATTTAGGCTTTTTTTATTATACGCACAGTTTAATAAATGTGAGCGAAATTGTAATTGGTGCCACGGCAGCCCGACAATTTTTTTGCCCTGATGTTTTATGCGATGCACCATGCGATGCCGTGCCTTCGTTAGCATAGAGCTTCCTAAATATTCACAATTTGGAAATCTGGTGCTAGTGTCCATGGGGGCTGAAACGCACGGCGCTTCAGCGAGCATGAGAGTGATGGGTAGCACACGGATTTGTCTAATCCTCGTGCTTCTGGCTCCGTGTGTGTTCGTGTAGCTTGGAGCTGTTTTCTTACAAAATAATAATGGGCAAATGTTCAATGATTGCGCTTCACCACCTTATTGTTTTAGGCTTACCATTCCGAATCGGATCACGAAGTTCAAAAGGGTTCGTTCTTTCCTTCAAAACAAAGCCAAAACACAACAATAAACGAAGCTGCAAGTGCGATCAGCCGCCCGAAAATATGAAGACTAGGCAAACGCGTGTACTACCCATTATTCCCGTGGCCACTGAACGATCTGAGCACCAAAGTCCCCTCAGGAAACTCTATGATAGCTTGGACACTTGGAATGAAATGAGCCAGTTACTTCCAGGAAATAAATAAAAGCATAAATTCGCCGGTTCACGCGCACCTCCGTATTTTGTGTTAAACTATACGCAATTGAGGAATGTTCACTCCCCTTCAACTTTGTTGTGCTTATAGAAGCAGCTCGTCAACAGGCGTCGCTGCATCTCATCTGAGCTTCCCCCGGTGTTTCCAAATGGATGGGTTCCACTCCTCCAGTCTGCAAACCTTCAAGTCAACGAAGCAAAACCTGTTACCGCGATTGGTAAGCGAGAAACGCCTTAGATTCAAGCCAAGCCGGCTTCTGTTTTCTCATTCAAGAGAAAGTTTTCGTTTTCTAAAAAAAGTAACTCTGTGCCATATGCCCAGAAGTGTATTCTTGAAAAATTTTACGTAAAGAACAAATTAGCGGCAGACAAGAGTTTATTTTTGTGACCTGCTTACTGCAGCGCAGTAATCGGCGTAAGTGAAACTTTCATAAAACTGCGAAGCAAAGTGTCAAGCCATAATATTAACCTATAGTAGCAAGCAGCGCGAAAAAAACAAGGCGTAGAAAAAGGAAAGAAATGACATGAACAAGTGCTGTAGCAGCACTTGCTTCCGTCATTTCTTCCTTGTGTCTGCGGCTTCTTTTTCCGCGCTGCTTGCTACCATGGATTCATACTGACGGGCCCAGCTATGCACGCTACCACACAATAACAAGCTCACAGTTGTTTTACACGAAGAACGCGTTCCGTAATTCGACCGCAATTGTCAACACCTCCAAAGGCAAAGAGTGTTCGAACTTAATATTCTGAAGCAGTCATTTTCGATGATACACGATGTTAGATGTTATTGGCGTATTTAGCGCGTCGATTTATATGGAAGAAAGCGTGTGTGAAGCAGTGTCAGTAGAGCTGTGATCTCAAGTTGTATGTGCTGCGCTTTCGCTAAAGAGCAGGCATTGTGGTTTTGACAGTGAAGATGTGGCAATCACCAGCGCCTGTGTATATTGCGTGGAAACGAGGATAGCCGGTCCTGTAGCGCCCTTTGGCTTGTGTCGATTGTTGGTCAGGTGCGATAGTTGTGTATTGACTGGCGGAGTGTACCTCCACGAGTCAATATAGAACATAATGAGCGTAAAGTACATAACTCCATATCGTTGTGTAGAAAGAAACCTTAGCGTGGGCTTACCTTACTGAACGCTTTTTAGTTTTGTTGAGAATTTGGTTGAGCTTATGCCAATAAAAACCGCTCCGCTCAAAAAGAAACACACCGCAACCACACGTCTAGGCGCGCAATAGTTTCCGAAGGTGCCTTGCTTTAATATGTTTTTACCACCACAGTTACCCCGCTTTGCCACATTCTCGCACAAATATTACTGTTGTCGCACATCTGCATGCCTGTTAATTTCTTGGAACAATTTTAGTTTGCTTAGGGTTCTTGGCAAATGTCCTTGTTTCGTAAATATGGGTTTTCACTTTCGTATACCTCTCGTTCTGCTGCCAAAAGGTCAAGACTTCGTGGTGTTCCGCACTGAGGACGGTGTTGCCCACGTGCTGGACGCCTATTGCCCTCACCTGGGAGCTCACCTTGGGGTGATGGGCCGTGTAGTGGGAGATTGTATCGTGTGCCCCTTTCATGGATGGAAGTTCCAGGGTGACACCGGAGCATGTACGCACGTGCCCTACGCAAGCAAGCGTAAGCCTCACACAATTTACATAGCGCGTCACTCTGTTAAGATGATTAACAATGTAGCACACTGAGAGTTTAAGAAAAATGAGTTCGAAAACCTGAGAAAATATGGGTCACTAGGTGTTTCCCTACTTACACGGAAAACTTTTAAGCGCAGTGGCAGTCAACATAAAAAAGAGTTGAAGTGGTGGCAAAATAAATCAATCATTGAAAAAATACGCTAATTAATTATTATGGTGCTAAATGGTCCACTGAAGTGAAGTATTAATTTACTTGCTCAAAAGTTATTGCAAACTCACAGACAGTAACGCCAAATAAAAGTATAGGGATGTCGTTAAAAGTAATTGTAATGTAATTGTGAAGAAAGAAAAGTTGACAAAGAGATAACTTGCCGTGGGGAGACACCAAACCTACGGCCTTCAAATAACGCGTCCGATGCTCTACCAACTGAGCTACCACGCAGGCTATCCCCCCCCCCCCTCCACTTTAAAGTGTATGTATGTGCACTTCAGCGTGGCACACCTGTTACCAATGCAGCAAGTGTAGAACACTCATTCTCTGCCTGCTGGCGTTAAGTAGCAGGTAATCTTATTACGAGTTGGAATTTAACCAATAATCCCTCGCATACCACCTGAAGGTATTAAGTTAGCTACAACGAGACCTTTGCTCTGAATGAAAGAAAGAGTAGGAAATTCAAGGGATTCTTTTTTTTCGTTAGAGACAATACTAATACGAAACGATCGAAATTCCGGCCGAGGAAAATATAGGGATGTGATTAGGAGTAATTGTAATGTAATTATAAAGAAAGAAAGCTGGATAAAAAGATCAGAAAATTTTAGAATAGTGATATAGTCGGGGTGATGATAGTTTTGGTTTTCCTAGAGGATGTTTTCAGCAAGTGAATTACCTTTAAGCAATCAAGTGACAGTGGTTAGAGACAAAGTTGTTGTTTTAAACTCACTACAAATAAATAAGTTTCTGTAAGACAGTATATCAGAACGGCATGCACTATAGTTATACCAATATGTATGCAATCATTTCTTTTATTTCAGAAGCTTTTTGATAAAAAAGTAGTATAGAACGCAAGTGAAATGTTCGTTTCGATTTGCAAGAGATTTATTATTTGTACTATAAAAAGAAGCGTTAGGCTTCCAAGTATTAGTGTGCAGTTGTTTTGTCTACAAAACAACGCTCACTTAAGCACCCTACACGTTATCTCTTGCTTACTTCATAAGCAATTGTTTTTACTGACTTAAATATACGTTTAAAAACGAGAACTTAGCAAGACTCAACACAGTTTGGTCACAAGTGTGAAACTAAGAATGCGGCAGCAACAAGGCGTAGTGCTACGCGAAGTAAGGCTAGCACGCCCACTTTTTTAGCATGAAACATAGCAATACTCTAAAAAAACGCTGGCTCAAGAAAATGCGGCATCTGCCGTGAGCGAAAACACCTTCTACACACACATGACTTACACACAAACTGACGTCAACACATTATTTCAACGTATGACTTCAGTCCATGACTTGAACATAGACACTGCAATGAAAAGAGATAACGTAGGGAGAATTGCGTTATCGGCTCATCCCTTGTAAAGAAGCGCCCCCCCCCCCCCCGCACTCTTCATGCGCCATTTGCACGACGACGGCTTGCTCGTTCCATCACTGCTTGAGCCACGTTCGTCAGCCGTGAGGTTTCACTAGGGCATAAACGTACGATGCATGAGGCGATGTTATCGATTTTGATGTCACATGAGAGGGACCTGAAGGCGCAATAAGCAACTGGAGTGCTCATATCATTTCTACCACAAAGAACTACACGATCTCCCGCTAAAGGTAACCATGTTTAGATACGAAGCAGCGGGCGCTACCACTTACACTGGCGACGGTACTGACGCTGGCGCTCAACGCGGCGTTGCGAGGGAGAGAAACAAGGGGAGGCACAAAGCACGCAGTGATGGAACGGTGCTTCCTGCTGGAACATGCCAATCATTGCTGATTGGCCATGAGAGACAAAAGAAATCACTTAGATACAGAGACCCGCAGTCCACTTTCAGTCACCACGCATGCTGCGAAGTTTTCTTGTTTAACAATGCACAGCAAAAATCTCGCACTGGCGCCAAATTGGAGGTCGAGATCCAGTGCCTATATGAACAGGGTGGCCAGTGAATAGTTGTGCTGTTTGGGCAGTCAAACTTTTCAATCAAGAAACTCTCTAGCAGACGCTGCGTGCGTCAGCATTGTGAGGTCAACAATGAGGAGCAGTGAAGGCGAGAGAGAGGGGGAGGGGTCAGACATGCACAATGGGGGTGTAAAATCCGCGGGAAGGGATGCCTAGAGGAGATAAAAAGACCGGAGTGAGTGTCGGCTAGCAGACACTGCCTGTGTCTGCGTTGTCACGCAAGAGAGGGGAAAGCGTAGCAACGGAAATAGAGGGAAGGGGACGCATTTGCATGGTGGAGCACGGATACCACCGGACCAAGCTCGCTCATAAGATTCTTCGCATGTAATAATCATGTCGGCAAGTAGTCCATTTGATCCTATTGGCATCTATGGTCACTAAGATTTTTTCGCAGTTTACGGGAGGCCTTGTTTTTCAAAAGCGCTGGCTTTGGTGGCCATAACTTTGAGCTACTACTTTTTCTGAGCCGCGTTTGATCCTCCAAGTATTGTGGCTCTAGTATCTGGATCGATCTAAGGCCTGTGTAGGACTGGAAAACATCCAGAGCAGCGGTAGTCTCAAATTGCTTCTCGGTAATTTTTTTAGGAGATGGCAGCTCGTAAAACGTCACGCACTACGTCACGCCAGCTGGCGAATAAGAGTGTTCCGCAATTGGTGTCAAGTTTGCGAGCGCCGCTGGCTAACGCTGATAAGTGTTTTTTTTTTTTTTTTTGCACGAAAATACCCATTATAGAGGACGAGAATATGACTACCACTGTAGCTCAATCAGCAGAGCATTAGACACATTGTGTGAAGGTTGTAGAATCGGTCCCTACCGGTTGCTAGTTCCTTCCCGACAACTTTATATTGTTTGCGCTTCTATCCGGTTTACCTCAATACAGGTAAAGACTACGAATATTATCACCTATACTTTTTTTGGCCTCACTGTCTGTTCGATTCATTAGGTTGTGTCCAAAAAAGAAACACAAACCCTTGACGATTCTCTTTGGCATGTCTTGTGTAGAAGCACAACTTTCATAAAACTCTTCTAAATTATGGGACTTGGCGCTAGTGCCTTACAGGTTGACGGCATATCAGTTTCGATGGGGACTTGCGTTCGTTGTAATGTCCCTAATTGTGTGTTCACTACGTTTCGGTCTTACACCAGGAATATCATCAGCTGAGTGAAGGTGCAACTGGCTTGATACTATGCGCTTGCTCTATTTGTTTAGTCAAACATAAGTTTGCAAGCTATGTATCTCCTCAAGCGTAACATTTGAGCAACAGACGACGCCTGCCAGTTCGTCGAGTGCGAGTCAGCCAAATGTCCAGCCTGCCAATGGCACTTGTACTCTTGCCGCACCATGGTTCAGGCCCACTTGCTGAATGCAGGGCTACATAACATGTTGTGTACTTTACGGACAGCGTTTAGTAAAACCGAAAAAGCAGTTTTGACAACAAATATTCTACTGAAAATATTCCTTGCTCTTGGCTATTGATTAGGCACGCTTGCGCGATAACACTTGCATGTAAAAAAAAGCTGGCCAAATTGTTTGGGCTAATTATTAGATAGAACTGGAGTAAAAAAGGATAGGATAGACCGTCTCGAGTGAAATGATTGCATATCATAAAACAAGAATGTACCAACTAGCCCAACATAATGTATATAGCTGTTCTATTGCATGCACTGATCAGTTTGAAGCTTAACTGGCACAATGCCCTGTTGTCTTCAAGTGTGATATTGCTGATCTAAACAGCTGTGCTATAGAGCGCTTTAGCGACGCTTGTCCCATTCGGGTGGTCCAACGTTCGGCAAGCACGTTAAGAGTGACCCTTTCCAGCTCAGAGTGCTCTGAGCCACTCACTTCTGACTTCGGAAACTTAGCAAGATCTTGTGAACCGGTTCCGCTGTTCTCATCTTGGCGTGATGTCAAGAGCCCTATCTGCAGGCTGACGGCAAGTGCGATGGCGTCTCAGGACGAGAGCACCGTGTTCGTTTACAGCAGAAAACGAGATGACGTACTTCTTCCAGCCTTTGGGTGTGCTGTCGAGCGGCTGCATGCGGCACTCACGGACGCTATTTCTCTAGCTCTGCCTCCGCTTTGTTGAAATTTAAGTAACTAAGTAATATTGCCCCGCTACACGTACCATAAGCAAATAACACTGGCAACGTGCATCCTTGCGGTAACCGCAGGAATCCCTAATTTTCCTCCTACCTCCATATATACGGCCTTTTATGTGTCTAACATGCCTACGTAGCTTATCGTAGCTGCCCTTACGTGCCACTATCAGAGACTAGCGCTTGCGGGACCCACCGTACTGCACCAAACTGGGCTACTCCCTTCGCGGACAGCCCCGCTTACGATAAAAGCTCAATGGCTCAACCTCTGTATTCCCCTACTCCTTTCACATATGCACCTGAAACATCAAACCGATAACTCGGCTGAGTGGGCGTGGCACCTGCAATAGCACGCTGCAGGTCACTCCTACGTTACCTGTAGACACCTCTCGGCAATCTCCCCCGTTGTTTTTTAATTATTTGCTTAATGTGTTAATTAACTTTCCTTACTTTTATCGGCATATAACGTCTTTATGAACAGTGTATGCCGACACAATTTCCTGTAGTTTCAAGAAGCGCGCAATGTTTTTGTGACACTTGTATTTTAGTTTTTATTTCACAAAAGTCATACGGGACCACAGTGCTAATCTACATCCCTTTCGTGTGTTAAAAAATAACACTTTTGTTCCAGTTCCGACATTCGCAAAAGTAAAGACGTGGACGAGCCTAGAAAAGTACGGCCTTATATTCATCTGGTATCACGCTGAAGAGGAGCAACCCGAGTGGAGCATCGACGATTTCACCGAGCTCAGCAGTGGGGTATTCAAACAGATGGCGCGCCACGAGACCAAAAGCCAGGGCCACGTGGAGGACATAGCCGAGAACGTGGCAGACACAGCACACCTGAACTGTGTCCACAAGGCCTCGTGGCTGCTGTCGGCCGAACAGTACGCACGTGAGGCGGCCAAGCCCGACTCCTGGATAAGCCGCTTCATGTCGGTCACCTGGGAAGCGGCATGGTCACCCGCATACTTCAGTGCCTCGGCTTCGTTCGCCTTCGATATGTCCCTCTTTGGTTGGAAGCCTCGCATCCTGCACTGCCGTGGTGTCATCTCCCAGTGCGGTCCATACCTGGTTGTTGCACGCATAGAATCGGCGTTTGGCTGTTTCGTGTCCATGATGTCGATTACTCCCGAAGGACCATTTGAACAGCGCATCGTTCACCGAATTTTCGCTAAACCAAGCATTATTTCTTGGATATGCTGCATAGGGATAGAGTGGGGATACGCAAATATGGTGAGTCGAGCCTTTTTATTAGATCCCTATGAACAGAATAGTAGAATTCAAGGTCACGAGCCTGTCGTGGGTGACGTTTTTTGGGAAATAATGCAAGCATGGACCTAAGTAACACTAGCTGGTGTTAATACATTAAGCTCATTCGACCTTGTTCCCAGGCGCTGCAGGAATGTGTGTAGTGCATGAGTGGATCAGTGGTTAAGGTGCTCGGAAAAATGTTTGAGGAGCGCATTGTGTGCGTTGTCAGTGAAGATAAAAAACAACCAGGGGGTGCAACTTTCCGGAACTCTCTACTACAGCATCCCTCATACTTGTAACATAGTTTTGGTATGTAATGCACCACATATTACTATTGGAACGTGTATAGCGTTATTTTAGTTGAATCAAACATTTTTATGCATCGTTGTTGTAAAACAGTCCCCTATAATTATTGGCCATCAGTTAAGTGCATAGTAAACGAACGTCGCCTAGAAAAAACATCACGTGACTCTGAAACTAAACCCCCTCTCCATTAATTTATAGGGTATGTGTTAAAATTGTAAGCATGCGCCATCATAGGGCACTTCTCGGACCAGTTTAAGAAAAAAAAAATGTTTCAATTGCTTGACGCCCCCCCCCCCCCCCCACTCCTGCCTCCTAACTTGGCAGCTTTTCTGAAAGACCAAGGTAACATTCACATATACAGAGCACAAAGCATACAAGGGAATATGTTGGAGGTAATATGAAAACAATATTGGCAGTCAAAAGTTGTTCCAGCTATAGTTTTTGAAACGCAATTCATACCTCATAAGCAACCGCAAGCGTCAGCATGCAGTGAAACACTTATGCCCACAACAATTGATTGATTTGTGGGGTTTAACGTCCCAAAACCACCATATGATTATGAGAGACGCCGTAGTGGAGGGCTCCGGAAATTTTGACCACCTGGGGTTCTTTAACGTGCAACCTAATCTGAGCACACGGGCTTACAATGATTCCGCCCCCATTGAAAATGCATCCGCCGCAGCCGGGATTCGATCCCGCGACCTGCGGGCCAGCAGTCGAGTACCTTAGCCACTATACCACCGCGGCGGGGCAAAACGTCAGTCGAAAGATCCTTACACGAATGAATGAAGTATAGTGGACAGATGTGAAATTAAGACAAATGCCATCATGCCACCCAAGGGAGTCTTAAGTGTAGCACAGGAATGAAAATGAACTGATGTTCCACTCATAAAATGAGCTTAAACAGACGACACACAGTGTTCAGCTGCTAGGAAAAAACATGCCTCCTTTCCGGAAATCCACCATATCTCTTACTTTAATAATGTGGCTCTAATATACATGGCTTTGGCACCATTACATTACGCATGAGAAAACGGCCCTCGAAATCATGTCACGAAAATTTCTTCCGGGCATTTGTTGTGCGTGATTGGCATACGTTCACCCAAATATGGCAGTGTGTATAACTGAAAATGGTTATCGCTCAAAAATAAAAACTAAGAGCACACACCGATATTTGCGCACATCTCTCCGTTACTTTTTGTGACCTTTGTGTGGGTGTCCCGTGAAAATTGCGCTATACAACCCCCAAGTATGCCATTGAAACTCATTTATTTTCAGAACGCACGCAGAATGAATTTAAGGCTTCGAAAAAATATTATCATACTGCTGTTTCTTTTCTGATTTCAGCTTGAAAGAGACTTCGTTATCATGAGGAACAAAATTGTTCTCAAGAATCCGGCTCTTGTCAAAGAAGACGACGGAATATTAACATTCAGGAGATGGTACAAGAGGTTTTACACCAGAAATAGCCCGACATGGCAAGATGTCAAAGAGCGAGCTCTGGAGTGGTAATGACTTCGCCCATTTGTACTGGATTTGATTGAGGTATTTGGATGTATTTCAGAGCATGGACAACTGGTGATTGATTTGTAGAGTGTCTCTTTATTTTATGGCTGAATGATAGATGATGTCTGATATGAAGCTTGAAAAGTTTATGTAAATAAATCTGAGCATAATTTTGACTGCTTTCTTTTCATGTATGCGATTTCTTTATTACTTCGCCTGTTGCGCAACGATGACGATGATATTCGTTGGCGTTCTGTGTTAATGTGGCCGGCGAAGATATATCAATAGCCACACCAAGCCTTAAAATCATTGTATGTGTGTATGTAGGTATGTCGAATGTCATCCACCCCATGCTTATTCTTCTAGTTATTTCACTCTCATGGTTTGGCTCCGCGGTGGGTGTACCTGTTCCAAGAACACATATTCCTTTACGACATTCAGCGTCTCTCCACTTATCGCAAAGTGCTGTTATCTGCCGAGACTGTGGCAGAATACTTTAGTTTTGGGCATAATATTTTCAGGGCTAGTTTTCTGGTTTCCGTGTTCAGTGCAGTAATCATGAGCTGTAATTCGTCTCCTGAGTTACTCATTGAGGCAATGTCATCAATGAATCGCAGGCTACTAAAATACTCTTCATTGACGCTTGTGACTATAATGATGATGATATGTATTGCGACGAGCGTGTTCTCCGGGAGAATTTCAGCAGGAGGCGCACAAAAGCAAGCAAGACAGCTGCAGCACAGAAAACAGGAGGCCGGGTGCTCGACACACGAATGTCGTCGTCTTTTCTCTCATTGAGAAAGCTGCGATGTTGTGCGCCGGTACAGTATGTATGTATGTATGTATGTATGTATGTATGTATGTATGTATGTATGTATGTATGTATGTATGTATGTATGTATGTATGAATGAATGTATGTATGTATGTGTGTGTGTATGTATGTATGTATGTATGTATGTATGTATGTATGTATGTATGTATGTATGTATGTATGTATGTGTGTTGTATGTATGTATGTATGTATGTATGTATGTATGTATGTATGTATGTATGTATGTATGTATGTATGTATGTATGTATGTATGTATGTATGTATGTATGTATGTATGTATGTATGTATATGTAGGCATAAAGACCACTTTCAAAATCATAGTACATACATGTATGCTGGTAATGGCAGAATCGCTCTCTACTACTGTTGAGCAGCAGCTGTTACCCAGGATTTCCAGCCCGGGAAGAGAAGGAAGAGGAAGTGATTTTTTATGGAACTCATCCCGCTCGTCTCAGTGTTTTCTGGACTTTTCACTGCAGTTGCGGGGTGCATTGCCCCGCCCGTTGCGGTAATAGATGTCCAACTCCGGTTCGACCACGGCCACTGCCTCGAGGAAGCGAGGAAACACATCCAGTGAGAGCAATGACACTGAGCTCTACTCCGCATCCTGCGACGAGTCCTCAGATGACGGTTTTCAATTTGTCCTGTGCCGTGAGGCCAAGCTGTAGATCGTCAGTTCATCGTTGCTGTCAAGTACGGTCACCGTGAAAACGGCGCCCACGTGATGGCCCTATTCCATTCTGTTTGTGCCAAGAATGCTACCGAAAGTCTGGGTGTTCTGAACAGGCAAGCGCTTTCACTCTACTTTTAGAACACACTGCCGAACGAGAGACATACGGCTAAATACAAGAAGAAACATCCTGGATGTCGATGTGCTGAACCCGAGTGCACTGAGCACGCTGCAATAAGTAACAAAACTGGGAAGCATTGCAGTTAGGTTCATCATACCCACTGATGGCGTGACCACATAATGGGTCATTTACAATATTAACAGGAAAATCCCAAACGCAGACCTTCCAATGCTCATAAAACCAGCGAGTCAAGACAACGTCATTCTCAGCGCTGGACGCCTTGGTAACACAGGTTGTGTGAGAGTAACGTTCAAAGGTGACTGTATTGCCGCCTACATGAAGGTCGGGCACTTTCGTCCACAAGTTCGACCATTTATTCCTAAACCTGTGCAATGCTTCAATTATCCCAAGATCGGCCATGTAAAGGGTGTTTGCAGGAGCTCCACAGCGTGCCCCCGGTGCGCTGAACCACACGCGGAAGACAACTGTAGGGCAACCACACTGAAGTGTCCAGACGGTCAGGGTGCTCACAAAGGTGCTTCGAAAGAATGTCCGCATAAAAAGAAAGAATTTTCAATTCTGAAGCAAATGGTACGAGACAGCTCAACTCCCAAAGAAGCCGCTGAAAAAATATGGCAAAGGCGACGTTGCCGTTGAATGTCTTCACTTCGGACAGTGAAAAGTTCAGGCAGTTAGTCGACGCATCAGCTAAAATCGCCAGCTGCAGTTTCAACTCAGCAAACGTAGATGTTGAAAAAGAACAAAGCGGCAGATCAGTCAGCTGCTTTGTTCACTCTGCAAAAGAGTGACTGCCACTTACGCGTTCACAACGCGCAGAGGAACTGCAGCAGAAGCCGTCTTCTTCAGAGCAAGCTGCTGCGATGGAGGACTTTTGAAACACAGATTAGCCAATGATGGCTCTGCTGCGACCCTTAATTAACGCCATTCGCTTGCTGTTAAGCAACATGCACACAACGTCAGCTAGAAGTGAATTGTAATTACTGGACGCTTTGAGTACATTGCTCGCAGCACTTGAATAAACAAAGGCTCACCAGCCACTGTCTTTCAGGGAAGAGGTCCAAAACACAGCGATTCTTCAATGGAATGCCCGAGGACTGAGATGAAACATCGCTGATTTTCGTTGGTTCGTGTACACCAATAATTTCTCATCATTGTCATCTGCGACCCGAATTCGCCGAACAAAATCAGACTTTCTGGTTATGAGTCACTCATGTCGTCTACAGCTGCGTACAATAACAAAGTTCTGATGTTTATTCATCACCACCTCACCTACATTTATCATCTGGTGTCCCCCCTACGACGACAATCTATATACGTATAACAGTGAACAAAAGACTTACTGCCATGGTTGTGGGAGCCTGGCTCTCTCCGTCAAGCCGTTTTGACCGTACAAGACTACAAGTTATCCTGTCAACGATTCCTCACCCATGCAATATAATCGGGGACTTAAACGCTCATCATACAATCCGGGAAAGTTCGAAGACCAATGCTAAAGGGAGAAAGTTGGTGTCCTTCACCTCAGACAATGAACTCTTGCTAAATGACGGTAGTTTAACGTTTCTTCGTGGTTCAAAGTATAGCAGCTGCCTTGATGTGGTCTTTGTCTGAAGAGGCCTTGTCAGGCATGCTGAGTGGTTTTCAGACACATAAACGCATGGAAGAGACCACAATCCCACTTACATCAGAATTGAAGGATTGTTCCATGATAAGACGCACGATAGCGTACAAAGAGTGGACTGGTTGAAACTTCAGTCTCGCATGGAAGAGCAATGCCAAGCAAACAGATTTCTTGACATAGAGGAGATAATCAGAAGCACAATACACGACACTTCGTGTACTCTAACATGCTCTCCAAAAGTAACAGAATTTGACATCAAGTTACAACGACCTCGAGCAATCCGCCTGCGTGCTGAACGAAGATACTGACGCAAGGAGGCGATATAGGACATACGGATCGTTTGACGTATACAGAAGAAGATTCAGCACCGGATAGATAAGCTAAAGCCACAACTTTGCAGTACTTTTTGAGAGTCACTTGACCCACGAAAACCTTAATCACGATTGTGGACGACAGTGCAAGGTCTCCGCACAAAAACCACTAAGTAGTCACCATTCAGGGCTCTCGTACTTTCTGAACAGCAACGCGACATAGACGTTGCAGAAGACATCTGTGCCAGATTATCTGGGCCACTTGCAATGCCCAATAGCCTATTGCCCTAGACCAACTGTCCATAAACACTAAATTGCCGCATGGATACGCCTTCTTCTATCGTTGAACTCAGAGCAGCAATATAGCATCGTGTGGACGCACGTCACCATCAGGGCCCGATAGCATTTCTCATAGGGCCCTGTGTCATCTTGATGAACGTGCGAGAATCCTGCTCCTGGAGTTGTACAACAAATCCTAGCAAGATGGGACATTCCCGACAAGCTGGAAGACAAGTCGCCTTGTTCCACTTCTGAAGTCAGGCAAGTCACCGTTGGAGCTCTCATCCTATCGCCCGATCGCATTGACCAGTTGTGTAGGCAAAGTTATGGAGAGGATGTCTTGGGACGCCTGAAGGGATACTTCGAGTGCAACAACATCAAGCCAGATGCCATAGCAGAATTTTGGCGTAGTCGATCGTAGATCGACAACGTAGTCACCCTGGTCACTTACGTCCAACATGAGAAAAGCCGTAAGCTTCTCTGCGCATTTTTGTTCCTAGACGTAAAAAGGGCGTTTGACAACGTTACGCGTGAAGCAGTTCTCACCGTTCTCGAAGAGGTAGGAGTAGGTGGTCGAATGTATCGCTGAATACGTAGTTGTTTGTTGATGCGATCGTTCTTTGTGAGCACTAAAAACGGTTAAACCTCTCCCCATTACCGCTACCGTGGCGTTCTAATTAGCACTGTGCTGTTTAACCTTACTCTAATTGCTATTACTGAGCATCAGCCAAGCACAATCAGACTATAAATGTACGCCGATGATATCTGCGTTTGGGTATCGGCTGTAACATGCCTGCAGTTGCGAGCGGAAATTCTAAAAGCTGCCACTGAAACATGTCACCTGTTCAATGTCAATGTCACCCAGTTCAATGCTACAGTTGTACATGGTACATTTTCTCGGTTTTCTGTGGTACAGTTTACCGGGATTGACCAATGCAAGCTAAACAAGCCTGCGAACGTTACAGAGTGTTCAGTCTCAGACATTCAGGATTTGCCTCGACTTGCCTCTTACTGCGTCGACAATGGCTTCTATAGCGATTGACGATGACCACCTCATCACGACACATATTGACGTTGAGACACTCAGGACACATATATAGCATATTGCTCAGACACCCTGCCACCACCTAGCTAGCCTCTTTACCAGCAGACAGACCACGTTCGTGCTGTTGCCAAATGGTACCCACGTATCGCGACTCTTTACCAACATGATTCACACCCGGCGGCAGGCCTTCGACTCATCTTTGGTGCCTGATTCAGGCTAACATCAGGCTAACTATACCTGGCATCTAGAAAAACGCAGGTATGTTGTCCACTGTGTTTAAGCAGCTTGCTCT